TGTGTGTTTACGTATATAAATATATGTGTAAATAAGTGTATATGCACGAGTATATCTTTGTTTCAGCTCAATATTGATCAACAGTAAACTAACCGTCTCAACAACCACTCCCATATTTACAGGCAATGCTATCGGTATTGCAGCAGGTTATCATCTGGCCACCAACAAGACCGCCATGGTATACCTACAGAACTCTGGACTGGGCAACATAGTCAACCCCCTGATGTCCCTTGCTACCCCGGAGGTATACAGCATACCCATGCTACTGCTGATTGGGTGGAGGGGTGAGCCGGGCAAGAAAGACGAACCACAGCACTTGGTACAGGGAAAGGCGACCGAAGAGATGCTAGAAGGACTTAAGATCCCCTATGCGATTCTACCCGATTACGAGGAAGGCGCAGAGCAGGTGCTGCACGATGCGAAGAAATACATGGCTGAGCACAAGGGTCCGTATGCGTTGCTGGTGAGGAAACGCACGTTCATGCCGTACAAGTTGGAGAAGAAATCACAGGGACACGAGCTGTCGAGAGAGAGCGCGCTGAAGCTTGTCGTTGGTATGTGTGACAGGGATAGTAGTACTCGGCTCGTGTGTTCGGAACGGAGTATCTACAACTGCCAAACATACGAGGGATCCAGCATTCGAAACGCAGGCTGTTGCATGCTTCTATTTACCACGTGCAGCAATATTTATACATAGGTCAATCTTCAGGTCTATGTGACCTTTTCAGCGATATTCAAACCTATCAACTTCTATTTCTTCTCCCCACACAGAACAAGTGAGCGAGAAGGCCGCGATGGTAGGTACGACTGGTATGCTGTCGCGTGAACTCTTCGAACTGCGCGCCGCAACACAAGCCGGACACCACCGTGACTTCCTGACTGTGGGGTCAATGGGACACGCGTCCTCCATTGCCCTGGGCATTGCACTCGCTCAGCCCGAGCAGGAGGTGGTGTGCCTGGATGGAGACGGGGCGTTTCTGATGCACATGGGTGCGGCGGCTACGATTGGCGGGGCGAAGTGTGATAATCTGAAGCACATTGTGATCAACAACGGAGCGCATGACAGTGTAGGAGGGCAGCCGACTAACTGTCTGGACGAGAGCTTCAGTCTGACACAGATTGCCCTGGGCGCGGGGTACAAGCACGTGGCTTCCGCACGCACAGCCGTTGAGGTACTGAGTGAGTTGAAGGTGCTGATGGCCACACCCGGGCCGGCTATGCTCGAGATTGTGGTCAATAAGGGGTCAAGGAAAAACCTAGGGCGTCCGACAAGCTCGCCTATACAGAACAAAACGGCGTTCATGAACTTCTTGGAAGACAACGCTATCAACGCTCATACGCCGTTGTAATAAGTTGTACGAGAGTGTCATTGTGGTACTTTGTACACGCTAGCAGTACTAGTATAGGGATCGATAAGGTTCACTAAAATAAATTTAGTAAAGTAAATTCGTAATTTCGTGGGAATAAGTTGATGAAGCACATGCTTGTGCATAATTTTTTTTTGTACTTATTGGAAATCGGCTGTTACTGCATCTCTATTCAAAACCGAAATAGAAGAACAAACGTTTGATGCCAGGTTACCCATTGCTCGAGCCATCACCTTTTTTTTTGGAAGGCTTTACACAAAATGACAGTAGCGTGGCTCAAGTGTCTAGGCCTATGCATTGGAAAATTAACGAGTGGATCAATTCGAATGGAAATAAAAATTTATTTTTAGTTGCCGAGCTCTAGAAACTAATATCGGCAGGGTAATTTTGGCCGCAAGTCCCTTATGAGTTGAAGGAATAATTTGTACCTTGTGATACATAGGGGTTTCAGGGGTAGATGCGTGTATGTGTATGTAAGAGAGGTTTCAAGGGTTTGAAGATGTTTGGGGTGTGTGTATGTTTGAAGAGGGTTTGAGGCGTTTAGGGTGTGTGTGTGTTTGAGGAGGGTTTAGAGCGTTTAGAGAGCGTATGTGTTGCAGTGTGTGTTTGCGGTAATTGTTTAATTTACCCTCGGTTGTCACTCGATCTTGACCCTTAATAGTGGTCAGATCATTACCTTGGCAGATTTGGTGGTCCTGTTAATGCAAGTGTGCGATAGACACCACCAGAAGGGAATGTACATAGCGTATACCCAGTAATTGACAAGTAGCAAGCTCGTGAATGAAATTCGGCTTAGGGGCCGTGCGTGTGCGTGGCACGTGGATAGGTGTGGTTGGTAACGTGTATGTAACACAACCACTCTACTGTAGTATCTGTGCACGTAGCTTCCTTAACGAAGCTATGATGTACGCCATCACACGCATTTTAGCTGACTACGCCATGATTTGCGCTCCACTATTGACTGACGCGAAACGCTGCGCGTGCGCGGTTATATAGCGGCGCCTATGCCAAGTATAGCACAACAGGCACAGACTAGATAAACTAGTCGGAAAGGATCGAAACACCCTTTTGCATATATGAGCCGTGTGAATTGGCCTCGTTCGTTTCCATTACCATCCGAAGTGACTCTAAAAACGTTCGGATCCCTTAGTCAACTCTGATAGGCTAGAACGTGCTGCACATACATGCTGGGCATGTGATACCTAGAAAGACTGGCTAGCTGGCCAAAGAACCCATTCAGCGCACTCTGAACCTTTGGCCGCAATGTTTCCTCGGCCCAAAACACTCGATTAAACCGCACAATCACCCACCCGAGTTGTGTGAGGTGTAGTGGTTTCGCACCAAGTCTCTGAAACACGCCCTGTACTGCGGTACATCGACCATCGGCACAGCAACACTGGCCTCGTTGTAGAGGTCGTACAGCTCCTTGGTCCTGTCCTTGCTGTCTTTACCTGTGTTCACCGTGATACTCTTCGATACCTTAGCCGGCATGGCACCGGAACACGCACCCATCCCCTGTCCACGCCCGAGTGCCTGCGCGCTTGTACGCGTGCGCTCGGACTTCTCAAGCTCGCCGCTTTCATCCATCAGCATATCGTTCAGACTGTCGGTGATGGACAAGCCCTCACAGCCATGCGCGCCATCGCGCGTTTCGTCCTCGTAGATATGGCTCAGCAGCTGTGGGGTGCCCACGTGCACACCGTTGTCCGACAACATGCTGCCACAGCTCCCCATACTCGCACTCCCGTAGTGGTCACTAAAACTGCCATGTACCCCCACATCCTCCTCCATCTCCTCGGTCATCCACTCGTGCGCCCATGCCTCCTCGGCTGTGAGTCTCTCGTTCACATCGCACTGCAAACAGCCCGTGATAAAATCCTTGGCACTCTCGCTGACATCCCCGAAGAACTCGTCGTCGAACTCAAAGGTCCCTGATTGGATAGCGTCCACCAGCTCATCGACATCGTCCCCGCTGAACGGCGAATAACCGCATAAAAGCACATAGCTGATCACACCCAGAGACCACATATCCACTCCTTTGCCGTAGGTGCGGCCCTGCTCCAGAAGTTCGGGTGCAGCGTACCCCAAAGTAAAGCCCCAGGCGGGGGAGTAGATATCCTTCTCGTTCTTCATGATGTATGCGGTTCCGAAATCGGCAATTGACACGGAAGGGCACGACGCCGAGCCCGAAATTAATATGTTCTCTGGCTTCAGGTCACTGTGAGAAGAACAATGGAAAAATTGGGATTATTGGAAAACTGTCCGTACGATGCGATGCTATAAACTCAGACATGGTGTGTACCATTCCAGAGCAAGTGAGATAACGGGCTATGAATCATCCATAGCTCATATAGTATGGAATTAAAAAAATTATTTATACCAAGGGAGAGTCAATCGACAAGTATTGTGGGGAGTATTGAATATCAAATCAAATAAAGTACAGCATCGAATAACCTATGGGCATGAATGTCTTCACACGCGGAGAACGATATCAATCGATTTTTAGGGAAGTAAACTGTAAGAATCCGCGTACTAGCTTACAAGCATATGACACGATATCAAAACAAATAAACACACACGCATAATATATATTTACGCATACACATACACACGCATAGATACACACACACGCGCGTGCTACAAATATATATATATATATATATATACAAATATACACATAAAAATATATACATATTCGTACACATACACATACACATGCACCTGCACTACACACACACACACACACACAACACACACACACACACACAACATATATATATATATATATATATATATATATATATATATATATATTTATGTATGTATATACATGCATATCATAGAACGAAATGGGATACAATATTTAGAGATCTTCATATACTTTTTCATTGTGGAAAATGCATATAAAAATACTTGCGTGTATAAAGAAAAGCAGTTTCAGATTCTAGTTAAGAACAGATATGTTCGTGTAGAGCAGAGAGGCTGAGCTCCTTCATCAATGTTACTACCCGTACGATATGTTGAATACGACGAACGAGAGCACATTGGGCAACACCTCCACCTTCCCCTACTACACACAAACACACCCAAACAAGACTACTCACCGGTGTACGACCCCGTTGGCGTGCAAGAACAACAGGGCTGACAGCAGACTGCGCACAATCTCTCTACTGGGCGCCTCAGCATAGTATACTTGCTCTACGATGCCATGAAACAGCTCCCCTCCTGGGAAGAACTCCATGACTATAGCTATATCCTCAGAGGTCACATACACAGCCATTACATCCACTACACGGGGGTGTGGGGTACACATAAGATGTGCCTCCACCTCGGTCAACGGGTCATACTGTTGTGGTAGATGACTCTTCTTGATGACTTTGCAAGCGTGCGTAGCCCCAGTCTCTTTGTTCGTACAAGTGAACACCTTGGCAAAGCGACCTTTCCCAACCGCCTTCGAGTGCACTGTGTAATCTCGGCTGATTGACGTGAACTTGACTCTGCTTTGTAGCAGCGCTCGTACATCTACCGTAATATCTCCGTTTAACTGCATGTGTGCGTCTCTGATTGTCTATAAGAGTTTGCTTGTGTGAGCCTATGTAGGGATGCGGGGTTCAAGCTTGGACATAAAAATAGTATTCTGATACCAAAAAATTCGTTACGCCTGTTGTGTAGCGTTCCGTATTCATTTAAAACTGAACAAATTGTGACCTTATCGGTATGTTATATAGCAATGGAGTGAGGGCGAGAAAACTTCAAAATCCATAAATAAATAAAAAATCGGCGTCAGCGTAGCGTCAACAACTATACGTTTACGTTGCTAAACGGTTATATCGTGTTAGCCCTATATTTGGCGTTGCGGGGGAACATTAAAAGCCCTAAGGTTCAATCTTGTTTTGCATGTTTTGATTGGGGAGTCCGTTTATTGTGAAAAATAGGACAAAGTTTTCCAGTTTTTTCCGTATAAACGGTTTGAAGTTTATAAATCGAATAATAAGCGTTAACGTTCAAATTTTAGTTGGACCCCTCTATTATAAACGTAAAATAGGCTGTGAGGAAAAGATCGTCATTTCGTCTGTTTTTGATTTCTTTACTATTTTTGTTGTGTGATATGACTGATATCACTGTAAAAATAACACAGTATCAGGCTTCAGAGCCTAGACTCCCAGAGAGGACCGAAACTCGCTAAAAATAAATACCCGGTGGTAGTAAATACGTGGCGGTGGGACTACTGTTCCATGTTTATCACAATAATATGTAATACGAGAAATTGCTTTTTGTTGTTGTTGGCATAATTGAACATAAATATAGTCTGCTGACTATGTAGCCTCAATTCGTTTCTTATAGAGGCCCAAATTGAAATTTGCACGTAAACGCTTATTTGTTCGATTTTTCACTTCACAAAACGTTTCTATGGGTCAAACAACAAATATTATCGACCTATTGTACGATTTAAATGAACATCCTGGGAGAACAATATGAAACGTTTGAACCTCAGGGCTCTAAATATGCACCCATAATCATTGTTTAAGTCTATTCAAGTATGATGACGTAGCCTAAAGTAACAAAAAAGTTCAAAATGACGCTCAGCGAATGCAAATACTTGTTGAAGCATCCGTGGCCGCCCGGCAATTTTATTGGTATCCCAACAGCCACACTCTCATCACTGATGGATATAGTAACTGTAATTGTACATATATGCACAATGAGTCGATGACACATACGCAACTTTGCTGCTCATAGGTAGCTACTATACGATTGGAACGATTAAAAAGTTTTAGTCTATTTAAGTATGAGTGAAATAGACGGCATACCGGTTGTAAGCGTTACCGGCGTTAAGCGGTCAGCCCCTGTGATTGATAGGAAAGAACTGGATGCAATGATGAAGTCAGGAGAAACAGCTCCAAAACGGAAACGGATATTCATGAAGGAGGGTATGTGTAGGGTGCATAAGTAGTCAGCTTTATGGCTGTATATTCCTATGCTGGCGTATGCGTGTACTGCAAAGGGGTTACAACAAAAAAAATCGTTCTTGGCGAGGGATTAAGGTTACACTGTTCACCATGATATTTTTGCTTCCCTCCTGCAAACTACAAGCACAGCTTTCGCTCGTGCGCCCTTAATCGCAGACGTACGTGTACACACTCGCTCATGCTCCCTTAATCACAGACGTATGTGTACACACTCTCGCACATATACACACATACACACGCATACACATACACATACATTATATTACACATATTATGCACATACATATACACACACACACGTATATATATATATATATATATATATATATATATATA